AACCAAATCGAAAGAAGAAAAAAAAAATCAATGAATACAGAAAACCTTTGATTAGGGCAAGGCAAGTTTTTTGTGAAGCGTAGTTCAAGGAAACTCAAAATTCTGTACACAAAAAGAATACATAGATAATCCCAGTATATTGAAAAAGAATACTAAAAAGGTAAAATGTTTTTTATCTGGATATTGTCTCAAGTTTTCAGGAAGACTGTTATTATTTTTATCTAAATACATCTAGCTAGCTCCATGCACCGTCCCGAACAAAATAAACAATAACATAAAAATACAAAAGAGAAAAGACACATGTATTGTCATGTTTTACAGATGTTCAACAATGGGTCTGTTTTGAATATTTGTCAAAAGTGCGATTCCTCTGGTAATTCCCTTTCACATGTGTAGTTATTGGCAATAAAATTGGAAAGAAATTGCTCAAGAAGGGGAGAAACATTATTTGTAAGGCACACAAAGTTATCTGTCCTTGCCTTTTCAAATAGTTTTTCCAATGGTAAATTTTTATTAATTTTTATAATTTGACCATACACAAATTATACTGCAAAAAGTAATGAAAAATAAGTCAAAAAACACTAAAATTTGGCAAACTGTATCTGAATTTGAGCACATTTTGACTGTCTTAAAACAAGGTTGGCCAATGGGACAAGCAAAATGATTGTGTTTTAAAAAGATATAAGAAATGTCTCTCTTGGAATGAGAAAATAAAGCAACACACTTGAAATAATACTAAATGGCTTTGTCAGAATGTCCTCAAATTAAGATAGAAAAAACACTTGACTCAAGCAAAAATCACCTCATATTTTACCATTTGTTGCAGCGTAGTTGTCATCCTCTCTTTACACGTGCGGAGGTGAGCTTTTCCCGAGGGTCTACGGTCCGCGTTTATTGTGGCCATCATCAAAACCATCTCGCAAAGCATGCAGCCGGGCGTCCATTTTTTTCTTTCAGATTAACAAACCAAACACAGTGAGCCCAGTCTCTCTCGGCCCTGATCTGTGGTCGGCTCAGTCGTTTACATAGTGAGTTACAGTAAACTGCACTAAGCCGCCAGCTCTGTCACACTGGCTGTTTGTGCGTTCATCCAAGTCTCCTCTTTGTGCGTGTGTAAAAGCAGTGCTGTACTGGGTCTGGCCTCCTCTGATGTTTGTGTAAATACAGAGTTGTTTACTGGGGAGGACTACTGTATTTGGACAAGTAATTGCACACGCCATATCTGTGGGAACATTTCAAGTTATAGCAATATGTTAGAATCCTGCGGGAATGGAAGACGAAGAAGAACAGTGATTTATTGGTATGTTTTGAAGCATGTTGGAAGAAATATTGGTGCTCTGTGTACTGGGTGCAGCTCTGACTGCCACCCCCCCGACCGACCCAGAAATGGATCAAGGGGAAGAAAATGGATGGATGGATGGATGAAAGGAATGTGTTCAATTGTAATAGTGAGTGAACTCTTTATTTGTATAGTGCAGGGGTGTCAATCTCATTTTGGTCGGGGGCCAAATTAAAATCAGGTTCGAGCTGGTTGGGGCCAGGACTAATAAAAGTGGTATAACAGTTGTATTTCTTTGGACACGTTGACTGTAATAATTGAGTTTGGATATTATTTCTAGTAGATTTGGATTCAGATTCAGATTCATTTATATGCCCTTTGCAGTAAAACCACATCGGAAAAACTGTGCAAGACTACCCCACACTCAAAGAAATGATTCAGGTGGTTAGTATTTTGAACTCAAAATACATACTAAACTAAACTCAATAATTGATTTTTGCCAGTTTTACTTAAATTAGTGTGGTCGCAACTCATTTTAAACATGCCTGTCTCAATTAAAAGTTAATACAAGAATCCTAACTCATTTTTGTAACAAATTTGAACTTGATATTCTGGCATAACTGGACAACGGAGAAGTATTGAGTTTGCTCAACATGAAAATCCTCTTGTAAGCCTGGTGGCCCATTAATGAAAAAACAAATATATTGAGTTGATTCAAAATAAATATATTGAGTTGATTGAAAACAAAATGTGGCGAAGCAGTGACGCTACCCAGAATGCATTGCAGCGAAAAATATAAACTTCTTAAAAATTCTACATTTGAGCATTAATTTTAAAACTGAATATGAAGCAAGTCCTAAAGCAAAATACTTGAGCAACATTCTGAATAAACTAATTTGACCAAATAAGTAATTGTATTTATTTTTATCAACCATGATCGAGAGGGCCAAGCCAAAGCAGTCCTATACTCCCTGTGTCACCCTTCAATTTCGAACAAATACTTTAAGGTGAACATGTTTACCAGTGACTGTACTGGCCCACTCTCATATATATGTGGAGTGAGAGACTACTGCCTAAAATTAACAATTGTGAACCGTTTTTTGAATCTAATCTTTGAAAGATGGTATTTGAATAAAGATTACATATTCCTGACTGAAAATCACTTGTTGATTATACTCAAAAAGATTTATTTTCAATGTAATTATTTAAGTTGGTAGTATTGTTAAAATTGAGTTGAACTGATGCTAAAACACTTGCTGAATATACTTAACAAAGTGTCTTTATAACTCAATTATTCAAGTTGGTGGTATTGAAAAAATTGTGCTGGACCAATGATAAAAGACTTACAAAGAATACTTAAAACACAGTCTTGTTCGCAAAACTTAAAAAGATGCATGCAAAATGCTGCCTCAATTTTATTAAGTTTTGCCAATGCATTTTTTTTTAGAGTGCAGCGTGCACCACCTATAGGCCAAATATCAACAAGTAATGTAGGGTTTTTTACTAACTATAACTTCTATGTACATTTTTGTTAGCAAGTAAAACATGCCATAGTAGTCCCTTATCCACTATGCTGCAAATTCCTGTGATAAAGTCAATTTAAAATAATTACAGGGGCCACGAAGAGTTCAGAGTTGTTCAGCTGGTTACATCTGCACTCAGCCCTATATCTTTTCATGGTTTTAATATGAAAAGTGGTAATGTTTTATTTTATCTGAAGAGACATGTGTGTATATCTGTGTGTGCATGTGTGTGTGTGTATGTGTGTACTTGATATGTTTGGTTTGGGGTGGGTTTCAATACTATCTATGTATATTTACTGAAGTACATAAGACCGGTACTTTTTCTTTGCTAATTCCAAATACTCTGTAACGCCCCGCCTCTCGCGGTGAAGCACTAATAATTTGGTATTTCCCTGCTTTGAGGAGGCTTTAGATTGACCAACACACATTTCCTGGAGGCTAACCCAAAACCACAACATAATGTCTCCGACCGACTCCACTCAGGACTCTCCTCCACACACAGGGATTCAATTACAAACACTAACAGTTAATGTGATTACGCTCTGTACCATTACGTTGTCATTCCACATGAGCAGACTTAATAGGATTTTGAAGAAGAAGAAATGAGCATATGTTTTTATTTTTCTGTCACGTTATCTTTGGTCATTTGTCCCACAGCTCTGTCCTGGGCTGTTCCCTGGACACAGTGCAGCGGGTGGGGGGGACAGGAGGGTCGTGGACAAACTCACATCTGCTACAGCTGGACCACGACCGTCACCCCCTGGAGGAAACTCTGGAGACAAGTTTCAGTGTCAGACTGACCTACCCTCGCTTTGTAAAGGAGAGGTTCAGCAGGTCTGTCCTTCCTGCTGCAGTCAGACTGTACAACAAACAATGAGGACTAACAAACAGCGCTGACCTCACATGTTGTGCATTTGTGCAATAATTTGAAATAATGTCACAATGTGCAATATGAAACCACATGTGTCCACTGTCACCTAGCCTTTGTACCTTTGTCCCATACACTCTGCTGCTAATATGTACAGATGTATACATACAACTATATTTACTGCACTACAATATACAGTATTTTAAATACTAGTAAAGTAAGTAAATACTAGTAAGTAATACTAGTAAATTTCTCCTATGTGAGATAAATAAAGCACATCTTATCTTATCTTATACTTGCTTATTTATGATGCTAAAATTAGAGTTTTTATACTTGAATGGCAAGAGCTGCAAGTGATTATTGTCTTGTTACAAACAAGTGGAGGGTTGTTGCACAAATTAAATATTTCTGCACGATATGAAAATTCAATGCAGGGCCAAGTTTATGCTGCCAGGAGACATTGGCCGTGTGGAGTGACTGACTGATTTCTGTTGCAGCACAGCAACAGTGGGATGACTCTCAGCTGTTTCTGTAGCGGCCTGAACCTCCACTTCAGCTTCATCACTAGTTAGATCTGTGGAGAGGCGAATCATCCATAATTGAAGAATGTGCACGTCTTAAACCACAATGAGCGACATTCAATAGCAATAGCATTTACGGCAACAGACAGGTTTCACAAACCCCATCAGAACGTGGTTGCGCAATGTAGCATTAAGCAAAGTTGCTTTCCACCCCTGACTGCTTATGTAAGTTCTTCCATATGGTGTCAGGGTGTTTTGCTTTTCAACACATTTCCATATTCTAGGTAATTACAGACCATCTTTGATTACGACCCAAATCGACTTACACTGTGTGAGTTCTTAATTGTTTTAGTTGAAATTAGGACACTGTTGCTGTATCCAATTTCCACTACCACAAACTGATACGATCTTAAGGCAAATTTGTCAAGAACCTAGCTCTCTCTCTCTCCTTATGTCGATACAGGAGCTGCAAAGTCCCTTCAAGTCAGTGCGTAAAACACCCACGCCCCCCGAGCGCGTCACGAAAACGCGCACACAACCAGCCCACAGAGCGCGCGGCGGGCTCGGGTCCTCCTCTGGTTTCCTGTCACTGTATATACAACGGTCTGTGTCTATGGACGTCCCAGCAGTGACTGTCCAGCTGCTGAGCGGAGTGGAGAGGACGCAAGAGGGAACTAAGCTGTCTATCTCCCCGCTGGACATTACGCACGCACAGAAAGCCTTTACCAAAACCAGCTGAATGCGAAGACTGGTGCGCAAGGGAGACAAATATGGAGCCACGGCGCCTTTCGCTATCCCTACGAGGAGCTATGATTTTCTTAATGTTTACTTCGCTGCTGGAGCATGGGAGCGCCGGTAAGTTAACCACAAACTCTTAGTAAACGACTTACATGTGACTCGGGTAAGATTCATACGCGCATTCAAAACTTGGGGGAGGTTTGGCAACGTTTACGCACGGGACTGTGGAGCAGAAAGGCGCAACAGGTGACGCATTCAGGCGCTGATGCAGGGCTGAAGTATGCGCGCACCTCTGGGATCACACTGCTCTGGTGTGTTTAAAGAGCTCCACATGGGGACGAGTAGCAAAGGTTTTCTCAAGACCGTGTGTTGCAAAAGCATTTCAGTGGTGTCTCTTTTGAGTTAGACTGATTGAAAAGCCAATACTTCCAATCAGTTTTATTGTAAGTATTGCTTGTGTGGTCACTTTTTGCTGATGGAGTTTCTGTGTCGTCCCTTCTCTTGTTTGTGACATGTGTAGCTTGATGGCACATTATCACTAGTCCTAACCCTTGAGATTTGAAAATACTATGATGTGATGTAAGAAGAGATCCTTTATTCTTCCCACAGTAGGAAATATGTGCACAATGATTTCAAAAAGACAACATCCAATCCAATCCACTTTATGTATACACCACATTTTATAAAAAAAGTTTCCAAAGTGCTGCACAGAGATAAAAGTAACACATATATTTATACAGGTTTGTCACAATATGTATGAATTAAAAATAATAACATACCAGTTATCTAATACAAACATAACAATAAAAAAAAAACAATTAAATAGATACAACCAAAGACCACATAACTAAAGCAGTGTTAAAAACCGTAGAGTAAAAGTGGGTGAGACTTAATAAATTCCAACAAACATGCAACACATTACTAATCAACTGTTGTAGTAAATAAATAATTCATTTTAACTTTTTGTGTGCTATTCTTAGGGGAAAAAAACATACGCTTGCAAGACAGATTTAGATTCACTCGACACCTGTAAAATAGACCTGTTCCCTAAGAAGAGATATTGGCTGGCACTGCATTGCACAAGCTTCTGAAGTCAGTTATAATTCAGTGGGCCACTACCTAGGAAAGCATTCCATAGTAAAATACTTGCCTGCTGGAGACGTCCGCTTATTCAGTTCATACTTCATCTGTCACAACTTCTTTCCTGTGTCAAAACACCCGGAGTGCTTTGTTTGTTGAAATGGCAAAACATTACAGCATCTTTGTGAATGGCTTAGCAGCAGCAGGAGGCATTCAAGTTTGGGTCATTTACAGAAACACAAAGCTGTCGTAGAGAGAGATTTTGTGCAGATAGATCTATCAACTACAAGATATGTCAAAAAGAGTATTTAAATATCAATCACAAACTGGACTCAAGTCACTATAAATCAAGTTTCTACTAAAGACATGCTAATAACTATTCATGCAGAATATGATATGGCACTTTATAACAATGTCCTACTCAACTGACAATGACAGTGTAGAACAATAATTAAATATAGCCTTAAAATAAATGAAAAGAACCACTGGCATTCATACATTCTCAGCCCTAAGGATGCATTCACTTTAATAAGTCTTCAAGCCGATGATCTCGTCTCCTACTGTTAAATTAACTTGCACTTACTACTTGAGTTAAATTGGCTAATCTTCGGCACACCGCACTCTTTCAGCGTAACTTTACACCTCTCATGTTTTAGCTCATCCCCTGCCCCTGCCCCTTCCCCTTCCCGTCCTCCTGCTGCCCTCTTGCCCCTTACTGCCTGCTCCTGCCCTGTGAGCTCTTACCGCTGGGCACAGCTATTTTCAACCTGGAAATCCCACATACCAGAAGGACTGTGTGGTCTCGCTGCATTGTACGAATCGCAAATAGACATTGGACAGTACATGCACGGACATGCTCTCTACTTTACATACAGACGTCCACCCACACGCCCCCCACCCCAACAGAAACTCACCCTGACTTTTGCTCATTCGTTTTAAAAAGTTAAAAACACAAAGCTAATAGTTTAGACATGTGCTTTCCCTAAAACTGTGTGTGTGTGTGTGCGTGTGTGTGTGTGTGTGTGTGTGTGTGTGTGTGTGTGTGTGTGTGCGCGTGTGTGCGTGTGTGTGTGTGTATGTGTGTGTGTGTGTGTGGAATGAATAATAGACATGTAATCACAGCTATACTATTGAAGCCACAGCTGCCGTTGGGCAATCTGTTGGAGTGGGGCTGCCGCACAGGTGGCGCCACTTGAGCCACTGACCACCACCAACTCTACGGCAATGTGGGAGGGTCTTATCTAAGAACACAACAGCAGAATGTCTATAATATTCCTTAGTACCTATATCCAGATTATTATCATTATTATTTTCAGATTTATTTAGACTTCTACTTTATTGTAGAATACTGTGCAAGCTACTGTGACAACGCAATTTCCTTGTGGATCAATAAAGTCTGTCTAAGTCTAATAGTTAAGAGTTATTTGGCCACTCCACCACACTATACAGAAGTCCGAAAACCCCAATAGATTTGTCTTATTTTTTTTGTGACCCTGTTGATTTGTACCCATGTAATAAAACCAGCATTGCCATATGATGAGAATGCACTTTCAGTACAATACTCGTTTTTGTTACTTCAACACTTATCTGTATGGCATGTATCAGTGCTTTTATTTTGGGGCTCATGGTGTTATTATATCCATATAGCTTCTTTTGCTCTCGCCCCCGGAACAGCTTGACATCGGGCTTATCCAAACAGCACGGCTTTTCTCTCTTTGTTTGCTTTGAATTGAAGTCGATAACCATCCGCTCGATGGGACGTCCCAGGAAGGCTCCCTCTTCCTTCCTCGAGCTCCGAGTGGGTGCAGTCGTGACTGAGCATGTCCCTTGTTGAGTTGAGTGTGTTTAGGGCAAAACTGAAGTGGTGCTGGAACAATAAATACAAGGCTGATATTGTTGTTCATGGGCTTTGTTTGGCAAATACTGGAACGCAATTGTTGTTAAGTTGAAAACATGTTTATTCTCTTTAAACATATTGCCACATCTTTGGACTCTGTCAAAGCTGGGACATAACAGAACATACTTTAATTGTTAGTTTCATCAACCCATCTATCTATCTATCTATCTATCTATCTATCTGTCTGTCTGTCTGTCTGTCTGTATGTCCATCTATCTATCGGTCTGTCTGTCTGTCTATGTCTGTCTGACTGTCCATCTGTCTATCTATCCATCTATCTATCTAAAAATTATATTCTTCTATCTGCTCCTTGGGTTCGTATCCCGGTTAGAATAGGCCTCTCTGAGTGGAGTTTACATGTTCTCCCCGTGTCTGCGTTGGTTTCCTCCTGGTGCTCCGGTTTCCCCTACCACTAAAAACATGTACAATAGGTATGAATATAACGAGTGATTGAATGGGGTGTGTTCGGCGTCTCGCTTCTGTCATCACCGTGTAGAGCGAATGGAAAAAATATCTGGTTTCTGAAAATTGTAAACTGCTTTGGGTGACCTTGGTTTGTAAAATGCGCTATTTGAATAAACGTGATTTACTTACTTGAATGAATTGAGAAAAGAATATGTTGTTAGATAGATGGGTTGATGAAACTTACAAATATCTACTGTTTATCTATCTATCTATCGTCTGTTCGTCCATCTTATTCATGCATGAGCTGGCCCTTTGCTTTGGGATGTTTGAATCTGTCCTGAAAAAATGATCTCTTTACTGTTGACAAAGTTTTGTATTCCCCTGTGCAGCACCCTTGTCCTCATCGTGTATTTTTGAACTCCTCGGTATTTTCCACTGTGACTTTAGGATTTCATTACACAGGCTTTGAACAGTGAATGTGCAACTCACTGCTCTTGACAATTGCATCTATTGATATCATAATCAATGCTATTTTTGCATTAATTTTCTATATGCAAACATTTGATTGGCAATTTCACTATCTGTAGTTTCTAAAATTTTTACTCATAATTTGATGGTGTATTATGTGCCCTAGAACCGAAAGATTACGATAAAGAGATGTTTTATTTGTTCCACGTGGGGAAATGTCAGTGTTGCATCATCGGTTACAGAACAGAAGAAATGAGGAGCACACTATACTTGATAAACGAACAATAACTCTAAACTAAAATAAGATAAAACTTTAGCCTAATACAGATAATATAAATCTCTATCTTTAGCATAATAAAGAAGCAAGTATAAAATCTCTAGCTTTAGGAAAATAAAGAAGCAATTATAAAATCTCTAGCGTTAACATAATAAAGTGGGAAGTCTAAAATCTCCAACTTTAGTTTAGTCCTTAAAAGACCTTTTGACATCTCTCCAATGTAATGAACATAAATCGTCTATCAGTCTTGATTCCTGACCATATTAGTCCAGGTCTCTTGGCTTCACTCCATCTCTTTTGCTTTGAATTGCTCAGTTGAAGCGTTCAGAGGGTGGGATGAAGGCGGAGGTGCCGGAGGGAACTTGAGAAACCAGTGGGAATGTATCATGGCTAGATAAACACTGAGGAATGAAGGGATTATGTCCAAGTGGGATTAGGGCAGAGTTTAGAATAGTTTGGAGGTGGAGGATAGCTTTCAGGGACAGAGGGGAGCAGCCAGTGTCCTGCTGGGACAGATACATGGCTCTGGACTGACTTGTACCAGTTGTCATCTCTCATTATGTCAGACCTCTGTTTCATATAACACCATAAACCCAATCATGTCCCTGCAGCTAAAACACAGAAACATGGGTCTTTATGTTCACAGAAAAGTCCAAGCTTCACGCATATACAGTACACAATAACTTTAGTTTAATGTTGTGTATTTGAATGACGACTTGTGACAAATAATGGGTGAAAACATAAAATAAGATCACTTCCTTCCAGTGCAACAAGAATAGATTATTTAAAAATGACAAAACTGGTGTTGTTTTAAAAGCCAGAAAACGGATCTGAGTGTGATGCCATATTGGTGCAATGACATCATACTTATACAGGACTGTTACAGGGGCTTGTACAGTAGAAAGAAGGGGAAGAGTTATGTGTTTATGCAAGAAGTTCCTGATTTAAGCGTGCTGGTTCTAAAAACACCCAATCTATGATGTAATATGG